CCAAGGTGTAAGGACCGAACTAGGAACTAGGAACTAGCTGATTGTAGAGCAGACCAGAATTATCCCCCTCCTATAACAGGGCCACAAGTCCATCTCATCTCAAAGACTTTGTTAGACATAATCAGTGATTTTATTATTCCTCCTCCTATATAGTTTGAACATTTCAGTCATTTTTAGTTTTTTTTTCATACAATGTATTTATTAATGAGAATCATGAATACATTGATTCAGAAGAGTATATTTATTTGCATTTTGTCAACTGAAGGTAATGAAATCAACATATGAAGTCTGATCAGGACTTCACTGAGCGGCCCAAGGTGGTTATTATACTGAAAAGTAGTTCATATTGTAAAACGTGTCCCTAGGCCCCGGTTGGTTATACGAAAAAGTAGCCTTGTGCAAGTCTTAGTTGGTTACAGGGAAATAACCTTAGATTTCTGTTTTGGAGATTGCTAACAGAGATTTTTTTGTGAACTTTTTTTAATCTGTGTTTTTATTACCAAAAAATATCCTTGCATAAATGAAGGCAGTTTTTGATTGACTGATTGATGTATTGATACTATCTGAAGCACTTTAGATGTGCAGGTACAGTTACATGTATTTATTTTCAGAAACAGTATAGTGTTTTAAAACTAAACTTTTTCAAATAAAATATTTTAAATGGACAATTAAGGATGCAGTGCCAAAGTCATTAGTCATTTGATGAAAGGCATCACCCATTAAATCTTAGAGAAAAACGTTCTTCAAGTAAACAAATACATTTCCTTAGACTTCAAGGTGTATCTTTTGGAGAAAAATATTCTTAAAAGTTGTAAATTTAGTACAGCCATTAGTTTTGTTCGTGCATGGGGCTAAATGTAAATTAAGGTTTGCATATCATTGCATTTAATTGTTCAGTATCCATGTAATTACATTTTAATGTATTAGCATGTATATTTACTGAGATTTTTAATGAACAGATAAACATGAATGTAGTGAGACCATATGTCGGTTTAGAAAAAAAAGTTCAATAAAAAGGTATAGCGATTAATTGAAATATTCTAAATCTATAAAATTTCATGTACCTGTATGAAATTTTTTTTTTTAATTTGCATTGCACGTACTTGTATGTAAGAGGACTGTGTTATCATAATCCATGAGTTTTGATTTAAATTATTCCCGATGTGATACAATTAGTTTACAATTATGCTATTTATGTCAATTATGTCAACAAATTATTTTACCATAATAATATGAATCATTGTCATGTTTTCATAAAAGAAAAAAATGGATTTAAATAAAAATTATGCTTTCATGAAAAGCGTTGTTATAACTGCAAAAACAATACGATTCAATAGTATTTGATCATATTTTAAAATATCCTTACTGACATCTTTATCATATACATAACTGTACAACGTAAAATTAAACTATAACAGAGTTGAACAGATATTTGTGGAAGATTTTTAAAATTAGTTTTAGGAAGTCCAACATACATATGTGCATGAATCTTAATATCATTGTGTTGAATATGTCTATGCTCCATGGTTGATAACTCTTCAAATATTATTTTGTGGAGGTGCTTCACATGCTCATAGCAATTCATATGAAGTAATAGGGAGCATCATTTGGAGATCATCAATTAATTTTCAGATAATTCAATGATTTCCAATAGAAATCTGTTAGTGGTTCACTAAAAAAATGTAAGGTAAAAGGAGGACGGTTACAGAGATCAAACTAGAATAGTCTGTTAAATAAAGTAGCATAAAATCAGAAAACAGGACTTAATTTCCCTTGGGGATTGGGGCCAAAGATTTATGGTAAATATCGCACTCCCCTGAATTTAAATATTATGATGATGGTTCATAAGTAATTAATAATATTTGTATTATTCATTAATTACCGTCTACTGTTAGATGCAGTCCTGTTTTTAATGATCAAAATTATTATTACAGAATATAATATCTTTTAAAACACTGTGAATTTCGTTATCCTTTGAATTCCGATCATTTAAAACGGTACTAATCCTAGACTGTCCTGTATCATAAATATATCAAATAAATTGATGAAAAGGTCAAATTTTGACTTCAGAAAGCTCAAGCCTAACATTTCTGAAATCAGCATCAAAGCCACAATTTTATACCTACATTTTACTATTAGTGGCACCTGTCCAAAATTGTACAGCATCTGTAAGTCCTGGGCCAATTTCGAAAACAAAATTCTGGGAGAAAATACTATACCAATTCCGAATGTTCTTTTTTGTGATTTAAAGGTAAAGGACAAACGATCATAAACAGGAAACCAAGAAAGAATCTACTGGTAGAGGTGTGCCTAATGAAAAAAAAAACTTGGAAGTTCCAACTTGAAGAAGTTACTTTGAAAATGAATTTGAATTGAATTAAATCTCAATGAAATAAAAATACCATCACAATTAAACATAGAATGTACTACATTTAAACGTTTTAAAAATTGTAGGTTTACTATCTTCGGTTAATTAAATATTTAAAATCTATTTTCTGACTGTTGATTATTTGAATTCGAAAGTCTATCACTGTTTTTTTTAAGTTTAATTCCTTGGATATATGTATACATGAATCTCTAACTGAGGTCATTGACTGAAATGCGATTACATTATGGAAAAAATTATCCACTCAATCTCATTATAAGTACTGTAAACTTCTCATAAGTTGTCTGAATCGGGAAGGAAGACAACAATAAGTCCATGTAAATCAGGTGAGGAAGACAACAATAAGTCCATGTAAAACAGGTGAGGAAGACAACAATAAGTCCATGTAAAACAGGTGAGGAAGACAACAATAAGGCTGTGTAAAACAGGTGAGGAAGACAACAATAAGACTGTGTAAAACAGGTGAGCAAGACAACAATAAGGCTGTGTAAAACAGGTGAGGAAGACAACAATAAGACTGTGTAAAACAGATGAGGAAGACAACAATAAGACTGTGTAAAACAGGTGAGAAAGACAACAATAAGGATTTGTAAAACAGATGAGGAAAACATTAATAAGGTTATATAAAACAGGTGAGGAAGACAACAATAAGTCCATGTAAAACAAGAGAGGGAGACAACAATAAGTCCATGTAAAACAACTGAGGGAGACAACAATAAGTCCATGTAAAACAACTGAGGGAGACAACAATAAGCCTGTGTAAAACAAGCAAGGAAGACAACAATAAGGCTGTGTAAAACAGGTAAGGAAGACAACAATAAGGCTGTAAAACAGGTGAGAAAGACAACAATAAGGCTGTGTAAAACAGGTAAGGAAGACAACAATAAGGCTGTGTAAAACAGGTGAGGATGACAATAATAAGGTTGTGTAAAACAGGTGAGAAAGACAACAATAAGGCTGTGTAAAACAGGTGAGGAAGACAACAATAAGACTGTGTAAAACAGGTGAGAAAGACAACAATAAGTCCGTGTAAAACAAGAGAGGGAGACAACAATAAGTCCATGTAAAACAACTGAGGGAGACAACAATAAGCCTGTGTAAAACAAGCAAGGAAGACAACAATAAGGCTGTGTAAAACAGGTAAGGAAGACAACAATAAGGCTGTGTAAAACAGGTGAGGATGACAATAATAAGGTTGTGTAAAACAGGTGAGAAAGACAACAATAAGGCTGTGTAAAACAGGTGAGGAAGACAACAATAAGACTGTGTAAAACAGGTGAGAAAGACAACAATAAGTCCGTGTAAAACAAGAGAGGGAGACAACAATAAGTCCATGTAAAACAACTGAGGGAGACAACAATAAGCCTGTGTAAAACAAGCAAGGAAGACAACAATAAGACTGTGTAAAACAGGTGAGGAAGACAACAATAAGGCTGTGTAAAACAGGTGAGGAAGACAACAATAAGACTGTGTAAAACAGGTGAGGAAGACAACAATAGGGATTTGTAAAACAGATGAGGAAAACATTAATAAGGTTATATAAAACAGGTGAGGAAAACAACAATAAGTCCATGTAAAACAAGTGAGGGAGACAACAATAAGTCCATGTAAAACAACTGAGGGAGACAACAATAAGCCTGTGTAAAACAAGCAAGGAAGACAACAATAAGGCTGTGTAAAACAGGTAAGGAAGACAAAAATAAGGCTGTAAAACAGGTGAGAAAGACAACAATAAGGCTGTGTAAAACAGGTGAGAAAGACAATAATAAGCCTGTGTAAAACAGGTGAGAAAGACAATAATAAGGCTGTGTAAAATAGGTGAGGAAGATAACGATAAGGCTTTGAAAAACAGGTGAGGAAGACAATAATAAGGTTGTGTAAAACAGGTGAGGAACACAATCATAAGTCCATGTAAAACAGGTGAGAAAGACAACAATAAGGCTGTGTAAAACAGGTGAGAAGACAACAATAAGTCCGTGTAAAACAAGTGAGGGAGACAACAATAAGGCTGTGTAAAACAGGTGAGGAAGACAACAATAAGACTGTGTAAAACAGGTGAGGGGCTTACACCTATCTTGATATACATGTAAATAAGCAAAAATAATGGTCTCATTTATAAAACAAAACAAAAAATATGATTGGTAGACTTATTCATCATTTTTGTTGCAGTACTAAAGTGGATATCTGATGGTCTGGGTAGAATGTTTACCTCAACTACACCAGAGCTTTTCCTTTTTCTTCCAGTTGTAAGTATTATTGTGACAAATGCTGAAAGTGCAAGTCTCATCTCTTGTTAATTTAGTAAATATTTTAAAATATAAATTAATATTTTCAAAATTTGATATGATCCTAAAGATACAGAGTATTTAACCAGAGAGATGAAAAAAGTTCAGAAAAACGTTTTAGGTGAATGTGACACTTTGATGTTGAGATTTTCTTTAATTGATTTTCTCCTCAGATTTGCACGTTAGAGAGCGAGATTAAGGAAGAAGAACTGAAGACAGACTATTCTATAGCCCTAGCCTGCTTCTCTCAGCCTCTGATTCAGGGGAACAATGTCACGGTGTGTCTGGAGATCATCAGAGAGGTGAGTACAATTAATCACACAGAACTGAAGACTGGCTGTTCTATGACTCTGGCCTGTTTCTCTCAGCCTCTGATTCAGGAGAACAATGTCACGGTGTATCTGGAGACCATCAGAGAGGTGAGTACAACTAATCACACAGAACTGAAGTCTGACTGTTCTATGGCTCTGGCCTGTTTCTACCAGCCTCTGATTCAGGAGAACAATGTCACGGTGTGTCTGGAGACCATCAGAGAGGTGAGTACAACTAATCACACAGAACTGAAGACGGACTGTTCTATGTCCCTGGCCTGCTTCTCCCAGGCTCTGATTCAGGAGAACAATGTCACAGTGTGTCTGGAGACCATCAGAGAGGTGAGTACAACAGATACAGTCTAAAGCAAGATATGAATCTGATTCTGAAATTGAATTAAAATTTCATGGCCAGTCGAACTGATATGGCCTTCAACAGTGCAATAATAATGGTAGGAACTTCTCAGTTTCAAAAAATGTTGAATCCTTATTTTAAGTTCCTGTCATAAAGTAATTAGGCTCTCACCATGGTAAGAAGACATATTGTGAAGAGTTGGATAAAGTTGCAAGGATCTTAACTGTTATATTGATTAGAATCATGGAGGCTTTATTTCTAATCAATTCCTTGACTTCTGTAGGTGATGGGGCTGAAGTCTTGGCATTCCCGTGTAGCAATCCTTGGTTATATCCAGGTCATGGTGTTCTGTAACCTCTTTACCATGATCCAGACAAAGCACAGAAAGGAAATCCAGAACTTTATACTCCATCTCATCTGTGATGACCAAGTAGAGGTATGTTATTTACAAAAAAAGGGGGAGGGGAGGAGGGTATCAGAACTTCATCATATGTAATGATGATGTCTTTTCTATCAGATATTAATTTTATATGCAATACCTTTATTAACAACAAAGAGCTATTTTCACTATATTCACTATCCATAAAATGGCCCTGGCCATATACCAATTAACTGACCAAGTCACAATATTCCATAACTAACATCAGTATAAAGATGAGACTTAGTACTTGCATTCCTTTGAAAAAATCCAGCCATAGAAAAATGGGCTTCGTGAAAATTGCAATGTTCTTGAAATTCACAGAGCAAAAATAGGCCTTTAGTAAACCTTGTTCTTTTTAACTCTTAATCATCTCCTTTACAAATACATTGTAGAACAGTTCTTACATTGCAGTGGAGTAGATAGGGATGTAGTTATTGCTTGTGTATGTAAGTGGGATAGTTTGTCCTATGTGCAAAAGGGAATTGACACAATTTGCATTTGGATCAGGGTAGTTTATATCCAGATAGATGTAGAATGCTACATGCTTTGATTTACAGTGGAAATTTTGACAACGTTATAATTTAGACTATATTTTTCCTTGACATTCCACTCATCAAACATCATATTTACATTTATATATAGCAAATGCAAATGACATTGTAGCATATTTACATACGTTAATCATTATTATAATAAATACATAAAAGTGCCTTTGTATGATTATTATAATTTTAAGATGAATAACTGTCATGATTTACTGTAAATGGTCAAAGATTTCACTTCAGATATTTGATTTTCTTCACTTGTCTGTTTGTATATTGAGCAACAAACAGATTGTCATTTGTATTTGTACACAGTCCCCAGGGATAACTCAGTCCACCGTCTATGTAACAGAGGAACTGTCCATCCTGGTTGATGATGTGGACACAGTCATTATTAATATCAGCTGTAAGGATGTGACTCTGACTGTCTGTGGTGATTCCTAGTGGATGGAATGGTTGATTCTTTGGAGCAGGAGTATGTCCAGTGTACCTGAATCTCAGTTTCCCAGCTTGATTGACTACCACTACTGCTTCAGCTTCATCATCAGACACACAGATATCATGGTTCTTGTTCTCAGTAATGTATCTGCTATAATCATAAGTAACTGAATAGAGAGGTTTACCTTTATCATCAAACTGAATGGTTTGTTTCTCTGTGGAGCCAGAGTAACGGACAACTTTTGTTTGCTTTTTATCATCACTGTTCATGATAACCAGGAGGTCACCAGAGGAGGTATGACAGACACCTGTAGGTTTCCAAATCTGTAGTCTGATCACTTCCTCTATCTTCTCTTTCTTCACAATGTTCACAGTTCTATCACTGTAATCTGTATAAACTAGATCTCCACTTTTTGTCACTGCTATATAAGGTGGTCTGTTCCCTGACTTGGTTGCGATAGACTTGAGTAGTAATCCCTGATTGATGCTGTAGAGTTTCATGGTGCTGCCGTATCCTCTTGTCCAGATTTTTTCATCACTCAGACAGACCACATTGTAAAGACTTGTATACCCAGTGCGTATGGTGGTGACAGTCTCTGGTTCATCAAGCAGCTGTTTGACTTGAGGAGAGGATACAGCTTCTGGTGATTTCTGTGTTGTCTTCATGCTATAGCCATGTTTATCTGATGTTGAAGAACTTGATGATAACACTCCAAACATTTTACTTAGTTCTTCTTGATGCATTTTTCCTGGAATGAATTTAAGTAAAGATGGTATAATTTTGTTTGGAAGACATCTGTATGTGTGTGCATTGGATGATACATTTAATAGTTTTGACAAGTCATTTGTGTCTATTGCAGTTTCAATTGAATCTATTTCATCCTTGATATCAGAAATATTCTTGTTTATTTCATCCAGATGTTTCTGTAGAGTTTGTAACTGTGTGTTTTTCATCTCATCAACTTCAGCTTTAAGTTTCTTGACAAGTTTGTCAATTTCTCTGTGCCAGTCCTCTCCATGTTTTGTTATAGCTGTTGAGAGATCTCCATATTCCTTTTGTAACTCACTTATTCTGTTTTGTACATTAGAGGCAATGTCCTGGTATATTGGGTAAATTGTCTCATTTAATTCATTTCTTTCTTTTGTAATCATATATTTCTTCTCACCAACAACTTGCAAGATTTTAAATAATTCATGACTTAAATGATGTTTTGATGCAATGTAGCTAAGACAAACAGGAATGTCACAATGTTTACAGTACATTTCACATTGTTCTTTAGCATGAGATGTACATACAGGGTAGAGAGGAGTGGATTTTCTGGACTGAATAGTGACAACTTTGTGATTGATCGATTGATCAGAAATCATGTGTTTTCCTACACAAGCTGTACACAGGTTGACAAGACATGTATCACAGTGCATCTGTACCACAGCGGTCTCACACAGGTCACATCGCATCACGTCCTGGGCACTGGGACGGGGGTCCATCATTAGATTTTGTGACTAAAGCATAAAAAAATTAATTAAGAATAAGCTGCTTTACATTTGAGAGCAACATGCATTTTTTCGGACTCTTAATACTACATTTTGTCTGCGACCATTAGGCAGATATATTCATGTACGTAAACAAGTCATTATATTAATTATACAAGGATGAATGTTTGTGGGAATGAAAATTTGTTTGTATATAGTTAAAGTCTGCAGTACTGAATTTTTAGTGACTTTCAGAATTGTTTTCATATGGACAGAAATACAAGTTTTTTACCTGACTTTAGTAATGGCGGCCGTCCTTGATCAATCTCCAAGTGCAGTCTCTATATACTCTGATCATGTGACATACTGTATTATCTACCTGTCAGGTGTTTATACTTAATGGTTAGAGGGGGATTTAAATATGTCAAATAACTGCTCTTCAAAATGCATTATTTATTTTATATAGTTCATGTGCTGTTTTTTTTAGCTCTATTGATCTACTTGACCAGAAGGATTTATGTGACAGTATTTCATATTGGTGACTGTTGTCCATCTGTTTCTGTGTAAAAAAGTAAACAATTCCTATAGATTGGCTTGATTTCAATTGTGCACATATAATCTGGAACAAAAGTACACTAGTACACTAAGATACATAATTCTATTGTTAAGTATTTGATTTTGGCTAAGTTGCCAAAGTTTTTGAAAATTGAAATTTGTGTGAAACGCTATTCCTCCTACAGTTTTATCCATATCAATATAACTTGGCACACATGTAGAATACACCGAAAAAGAACTTTTTAATTGATCTTACTGTGATGAAAGGTGTTGCTAGGGTTCTTAAAAATTGAAATTTCTGCATAAAGTTCTTGCAAAAGTTTATCCCCCGTACAGTGTTAGCCTGATGGCAATTAAAAGCAAGAGCCACTTTGGGCCTTAATTATTTGGTCATGAGAATTTCTGAAAAATCAAAACCGCTCAGTTTAGGCTGCAAATGCAGTATTCATCACTAGGATTGTTGGTGACCACGTATCTAATAATCGTGATGTAATTTCCCATCTAGTCAATGCATTATGACGTCATAAATTGCATAATTTTCCTCTTATCCTGTAAATTCCCTTGAAAATGACCTAAAGTTGAAGTATTTTTACAATATTTCATATGGAGCACAACCTCTGATCCAAAATATGCAAATACATAATGACAGACCTGTTTCTGAAGATCCAAAAACATGTTTGTTTTTTTTTTTTGGATCGTGGGCTGTGCTCATATTTTAATTCTTTGCTGACTGTTGTCAAATACGCATGTTTTCTGCAAATTTCAAGAACATTGCAATTTCTCAAACCTGTTTTCCAATATCTGGATTCTGAAAACGAAATTTTTTTATAGCTAATGAAAGCACCAAGTATCTACTTTATTTTGATATATGAAATGGGAAAGAGGTTGATAGCTAATTAATTGATATAAGTACAGGACCGTTTTATGCATAAGATGGCTCTTGCTCTTTTCTCAACAAAAAAAAAAGATAAGAAAAGAAAAGAAAAAACCAGGGACTATTATTTTATAGCTATTTATAAATTATTGTTGTTGCACAGTTTCAAGTTAAGTGTATTCTTTCTACTCCTTTGTTTTAAATACAAAGAGCCAAATTTTCATCATTGAATTCTGATTTCATTTTATTTTAAAGCACTAGAAAATTCTTTTGTGTATATTACAATGCACATGTTTATTTTAAATATTATAAAAGAGGATTAATTTCTGCATGAAAATTTTATAAGATTAACAAAATCAGTGATAGAGGTCTCACACAAATCACAGCACCAGATTATGGACACTGGTACATGTTATAAGGGTCCATGTATGTGCAGATTAGAATTTTAAATTAATAGCATGCATGTGTGTAAAGAAAAAAACAATGAGTGTGACACTATTGAAAACTTGACGTAAGTAATCTTTTTCTGTTTTGCGATACTAGATGTTATAGTAATAAATTGTATTTTTATTAAAGGTGAGAGAGATGGCAGCCATAACATTGAGTGGATTAGTACATTGTGGATTTCTAGACATGGACAAAGATATGCTGGTAATTCTGAATTTCTACATATTAGTCTAAATTTGTATTTTTTCTTGTTATTTTATACCTCAGAATTTCAAACTTGAAGTTTGAAGTCAATAATAAATAACTTAGGTCCCATGTTGCAGCAGGCGGTGTCCAGAGAAAGATCTCTGGCTGCTCAATGGCCCTGAGTGTCGAGTATATAGGTATAAATTTGCAGCCATCAATCGACGAATGTTGGCATCTCAATATAAGTGAAAAATTCTCAAGAGGACAACATATCTGTGGAGAGGGCAAACAAACATCCTTTTTAAGATTGCCATATAATGCCATTATGATATATTTTCACTTGAAAATCTTTAAAGTGAAAAACAAGATGTGCTTGTGAAACACTGATGCCCCCGTATGGCAACATAGCAAAGATTAAACTTTTCTTGCAAATTTAATTAATTGGTACCAAAAGTAGGGTATTCTCACTGGAAAACAATTGTGAAATTTGAAAGTAAGCCAATGTTAAAAAGTTTTTTTCAATAAGTATAAAAATCTCCAAGATCAAAAGGTCAGTGTAATTGGTATCAAATGAAAGGTCTTGCCACATAGAATACTTTTGTAGAGCATGAAAGCCCTAGCCCTAAATGTTCAGAAGTTATGGCCAAGGTTCAATTTTTTAAAAAGTAGGTTAAACTCCAATGTCAAGGTCAAAGGGTCAAAGTTCTTGTTGTGAAATGAAAGGTCTTCTCACAAGGATTAAGTATGTATAGTATGAAAGCACTAGCCCTAACCCTTTAAAAGTTATGGTCAAGATTTGCTTTTTTAAAGTAGGTCAATCTCAAAGGTCAAGGTCAAAGGGTCAAAGTTCTTGGTATTTAATGAACAGTCTTCTCACAAGGATTACATATATGAAGTATGAAAGCCCTATCCCTTACCGTTCAAAAGTTATTGCCTAGGTTAAAGTTTTTTCACAAGTACAGAAATCTACAAGGTCAAGGTCAAAGGGTCAGGGTTTTTGGTATCCAATGAAAGGTCTTTCAACAAAGATAACATATGTGAAGTATAAATGTCCTAGTATCTACTGTTCAAAAGATATGGCCAAATTAAAAATTTAAAATTTTCATGTAAAAGTGGGTCAAACTCCAAGGTCAAAAGGTCCAGTTTGGTGGTAACCAAAGAAAGGTCTTGTCACAAGGAATACACATGTGAAATATGAAAGACATAGCTCCACTAAATCAAAAGTTATGGGCAAGGTTAAAGTTTTTGCAGAAAAACAGAGAGACAGACAGAGAGACAGTTGGACATGGCAAAAACTATATACCCCTGAAACTTCATTTATTGGGGCATAAAAAAACATGTAAAGCTTAAAGTATATGTACATAGTGTTTTAAATTTCATATTACTTTTAAACAGGAACACTTTGAAGTCCTGAGTAGGAACAAGGTGAAGAAGCGTAAGTTAGCGGACTCGATGCCTCTGGAGGCCCTAATAAAGCGTCACGCTGGTGTCCTGGGTCTCAGTGCTCTAGTGGAAGCCTATCCTTACAATGTACCCGAGTTCATGCCACAGATCCTAATGGACCTTAGTAACCATGTCAACGACCCTCAACCAATACAGGTCAGTAGATCCTTACACTCATATCCACAAATTTACACTTACTCTTAACCAATTAAGGGCAGTAGATAATTATATATTCCAATATTACAATATTCCATGTGTTACCTGTTGTCAAGTGTGTTGCTACAGCTGAGGGTAACATAACATTGTAAAATATATCTAAACCAATCAGATTTTAGAATTTAACATACTGTAGATCACTTAATTTTCGCGACACCTTATTTTCGCGAGATAGTCATTGACTCTTTATAAGCGAGAGAAAATTTTCACGAATTTTGGTCATTGCTCTATATAATCTTAAGGAATTCTATTATACGCTAGAATGAAATTTTCACGAGCATACTGTCTCGCTTAATTGCGAAAATAAAGTTCTCGCAAATAAAAAGTGTTTTACAGTATATGAAAGTATAATATTGATAAACTCTGTTGGTTTAATCTTTTGCAGATGACTGTGAAGAAAACTCTATCAAACTTTCGTAGGACCCACCACGACAATTGGCACGATCACAAACAAATGTTTACAGACGATCAACTTGTCATATTAACTGATATTCTAGTGTCCCCTACTTACTACGCTTGACAACGGATCAGTTCCTAGAAATATTACAAACCAAGGTGTAAGGACCGAACTAGGAACAGCTCAGTCATGGTAGAGAAAACCAGAGTTATCTCCCCCCAATAACAGGATTGCAGAAGTCATCAGTGCCCATCTCAAAGACTTCGTTAGGGATAATCAGTGATTTCATTATTCCTCCTCCCATATAGTTTAAGCATTTCAGTTGTATTTTAGGGTTTTCTCATACAATGTATTTGATGTGTATCATGAATACAATATTTATTTGCATTTTGTTAAGGTAATCAAGGAAACATATGAAGTCTGATCAGTTTTATGGATTAAGCAGCCCAAGTTGGTTATTATACTGAAAAGGATACCTATTTAAAAAAAATTGTGCTTTGGCCCAAGTTGGTTATATGAAAATGTAGCTTTGTACAAATCTTAGTTGGTTAAAGGGAAATAACTTAGATATCTGATTTTGAGATTGCTAACAGAGATTTGTTGTGAACTTTTTGTAATCTGCATTTTCTAAACCTCAAAAAATTCTTGCATAAATGAAAATTTTTCATTGATTGATACTACACTGTATCACTTAAGATATGTAGGTACAGTTACATGTATTTATTTTCAGAAATAGTTAGGGGTTTTAAAACTAACTTTTTCAAATAAGATATTTTATATGGAGAGTAACTGTTAAGGATGCAGTGCCAAAGTCATTAGTCATTTGATGAAAGGCATCACATTAAATCTGTCAGAGAAAAATGTTCTTCAAGTCAACATTAGCATTTTCCTAGACTTCAAGGTGTAAATCTAGTACAGCCACAGTGTTTTGGGGGTAAATATAAATTAAGGTTTGTATATCATCGCATTTAATTGTTCAGTATCCATGTAAATAAATTTTAGTGTATTAACATGTACAATTACTGAAATTTTTAATTACATGTAACAGATATACATGAATGTAGTGATACCATAACCATACGGTATGTCAGGTTAAAACACCAGATGGCATATTATGATAAAAAGGTATCGAGACGGAATGAAATATTCCCAATCTATAAAATTTCATGAAACTGTATGAAAAGTTTTTTTTTAAAAATTGCATTTCTTGAACCTGTATTAAAGAGGACTGTGTTATCATAATCCATGGGTTTTGATTTAGATTATTCCCGATGTGATACAATTAGTTTACAATTATGTCATTAACAAATTATTTTACCATAATGATGAGAATCCTTGTCATGTTTTCATTTATGAAAAAAAATATGGATTTATAAAATAAAAGGTATGCTTTCATGAAAATCGTTGTTGTAACTGCAAAAAGAATACAATTCCATAGTATTGATATTTTGAAATATCCTTACCAATATCTTCATCACATACATGACTGTTCAATGTAAAATTAAAACAGGAAAAAGTGGAAGACATACTTTTTTTTGATGTTTTTTAAAAAAATTATTTTTAGGAAGTCCAGCATATACATGCAGTTACATGAATCAATATCATTGTGTTAAGAACACGTTTATGCTCCATGGTTGCTAATTATTCAAAAACCATTTTGTGGAATTACTTCACATGCACAAAGCAATACATATGAAGTATAATGAAACATCACGATGTTGATGAACATAAAAAAACTGCTTGGCACCTTTAGCTTCCTGTGACTTAAATACTATACTTGTATTTGTTCTTGCTTCAAATTTACCAATGTAGACAAGGTTTATAAGCTAAAAATCAATAAAGTACTTGATTAATAATTTGCATATCAACATATCTTTCATCTTATTGAGTTTTGCTGTGAATGCCCATTCTGAGAACCTCCCTAGATAACATCACCAGTGAGACCCTGAAGGACTGGGGGACGTTCTTCACCGTCGTGTCCGAGAGTCGAGATCCCAGAAGACTGTATCGATTCTTTGAGATGCTCATGGATAAACCAATCAGGGAGGGATCTTCCTCTTTTAAGGATCTTCAGAGTTTAAGAGGAATAAAATGTCCATGAATGATCCACCAATGATTCCCCCACCTTTCCAATTATAGAATGACATACCTGAAGCAGGGACTGATTGTTTTCTATTATATTTTGTACCGTCTACTCTATTTGCTGTACAGAATGCTTTAGTACAAAAGACCTAGGAATAGAGATTACCAGAACTCCTCCACCGTCTGTTAGAGTTCCTGACACTCTACCTCTCCCACAGGTACAAGAATGTCAGGGACAGAGTTGGAAGGTAAGCTTTTGATAAAGTTTAATCTAAATGTATAACTCCGAAAGTTGATTAATCTGACAAATGTCCATGTGTAACGAGTGGTATCTGGATTAGACAAATTTTACTGCACATCATGTTTCAATTTCTAAGTGAAATTTTTTATGGAACACTTTTTAGAGTTAATTTTCTGTTTCAGCCTGCTGTCCAACATCATGTTGTATGACTACAGCATCACGCCGGGTTCCTCCACTAAATCTCCACACAGAGTGGACTTTGTCCAGAAAGTGATTCCACGACTGGAACCACTCAAAGACCTGGTGCTATCAGACAATGGGAACAATGGCAGCTTAAAGGGTAGGTTCTAATTCTATTAAGAATGAACTTATAATGGTCTGAAAAACTGTAATCATATATTGCATTAATAACATTATATGCCCCCAGATCGAAAGATCTCAGGGGTATATTGGTTTTATCCTGTCTGTCTGTCTGTTTGTTTTTCTGTCTGTCTGTTGTCAACTTTACCCAGCCCATAAGAATGGAGTGGGTTGGGCTGTGGCTTTCATATTTCACAGGTACGGAGTGGACTTTGTCAAGAAAAGCCAAGCTGTAATCATATATATTACATCCATAACTTTAACGAAAGATCTCGTATGTATTCCTTGTGACAAGACCTTTCTTTGGGTACCACCAAATTTGACCACTTGACCTTGGAGTTTGACCTACTTTTACCAAAAAAAAAATACCACACTTTAACCTTGGCCATAACTTTCGAACAGTTGAAGCTATGGCTTTTATATTTCATGTGTATTTATTAGGGATGTCAAAATTGTCAATAATTGATATTCGAATATTCGATAGAAGTATTCGAATATATTCGAATATTCGATAAAATAGATACATCTTACATTATTAAATATATAAATCTTCACTCTCCTGTCAAGTAGTATAGGTTTTATGGCATTATTTTGAAATAAAAACTCAAGTAGAGTGCGGTAAATGCACTGCAATTATATATATTTTAAATTATATTGAATAATATATATCCAAAATGTAATGATTGTTTTTTGAAAATTCAAGATTCTTTAGTATGTTCCAGATTAATTGATCGTCTTACTAAAGTCTACATCGATAACTCCTACAAACCCATACCAAGCAGAACAATTATCTAACGGTGAAACATTTACATCAATTACTTTTTGCTAATCTTAATTTCCTGATAATGATTTTAATGATATTTACATAAACAAAGGGTCCGTGTGTTTACTGTAAAACTTTGTCCTTACAACAATACAAGCTGATTGTAAGTACTGGATATATTATACCACTAATTAAGTGAACAAATAAATAAACTACTAAAATGGATGCACTCTTCACACCTTTCAGGTAACCCAAGAGGAGTGTTTTTTTTATTTTGTACAAACTTGATTCAATTTCTAATAAAACTTGAGTGTTTTTTTCTCTCTTTTTAATGCTTGTATACTTAAAAACGAATATTCGAATCATAAATTCATATTCGAATATCAACTCATCGAATGAATATTCGAATATTCGAATATTCGTTGACATCCCTAGTATTTATTGTGACAAGACCTTTCAGCTGGTATAAATAATTTTGACCTTGACCTTGAAGAGTTTGACCCACTTTTTAAAAACTTTAACCTTGGTCATAACTTTTGAACAGTTAAAACTAAGGATTTCATTTTTCACAGGTGTATTCCTTGTAACAAGTCCTTTCTTTTGGTACCAACACTTTTGACCTTTTGACCTTAACCTTTGGACATCAGTGTTTTACAAAAATATTTTGTCTTTATTTGATCATGCACAAGGAGGTGTTAGAAGTCTATGTAGATGTAAATGTATTTGAATTTTTCACAGATGAGGAGAACCACAGGGAGACGTCCTCCTCGTCAGAGAAGATGGAAGATGATGAGGATGAAGAGAGGAAGACAACCATAAGGCTGTGTAAAACAGGTGAGGGGCTTACACCTGTCTGAATATACATGTAAATTAAAAATTTAATTTTATTTAATTGGACTTATTCATCATTTTTTGTTGCAGTGCTGAAGTGGATATCTGATGGTCTAGGTAGAATGTTTACCTCAACTACACCAGAGCTTTTCCTTTTTCTTCCAGTTGTAAGTATTTTTGTGAGGATTGCAGAATATGCAAGTCTGATCTCTTGTTAAATTCGTTAATATTTCAAAATTTGATATGGTCCTACATGTATTTAACCAGAGTGATGAAAAATATGCACAAAAACTTTTTAGGTTTAAAATGACTTTTCGATATTGAGATTCATTTGACTTCCCCCCTTAGATTTGCACGTTAGAGAGTGAGACTAAGGATGAGGAAGTGAAGACTGATTGTTCTATGGCCCTGGCCTGTTTCTCTCAGGCTCTGATTCAGGAGAACAATGTCACGGTGTGTCTGGATACCATCAGAGAGGTGGGTAAAACAGACACAGTCTAAAACTACTAGATATGAATCTGAAATTGAATTAAAATTTCATATCCTGTCCAATGGATATGATCTAAAACAGTTATTATGGTAGGAACTTCTCAGTTACAAAAAACGTACAATCTATATTTTAAGTTTCTGGTATAAAGTAATTACACTACCGCCAGGGTTAGAAGACATATTGTTGAAGAATTTGATATATTGGCTAGGATCTTAAGGGTCATATTGATTAGAATAATGGAAGCTTTATTCCTAATTATTTCCTTGATATCTGTAGGTGATGGGACTGAAGTCCTGGCATTCCCGTGTAGCGATCCTCGGTTACATCCACGTCATGGTGTTCTGTAATCTCTTTACCATGATCCAGACAAAGTACAAAAAGGAAATCCAGAACTTTATACTCCATCTCATCTGTGATGACCAAGTAGAGGTAGGTTATATGTATACAAAAACAAATACAAAAAATTGAGGGGGTCAGAACTTTATACTGCATCTCATCTGTGATGATCGAGTTTTTTATTAGATATTTATGCAATATATTTATTAACAACAAAGAGCTTTAGTCACTATCCATGAAACGGCCCTGCCCATATACCAATTAACTGACCAAGTCACAATATCCTAAAACTAACAACAGTATAAAGATGAGACTTAGTACTTGCATTCCTTTACAAAAATATTTCTTCTGCAAATCCAGCTATAGAAAAATGGGCATTGTGAAAATTGCCATTTTCTTGAAATTCACAGAGCCAAAATAGGCCTTTAGTAAACCCTGTTCTTTTTAACTCTTAATCATCCCCTTTGCAAACACAATGTAGAATAATTCTTACATTGCAATGGAGTAAATGGGGATGTAGTTATTGCTTGACTGCATTTCATTTCCGGATTTTTTTGTAATTATCAACTTTTCATTTCCGACATTTTTTTGTTTTCATTTCCGACATTTTCAGATGGTACCTTCGGGCTTTAGTAACAGATTTGAAGACTTTACCTATGCAAAATTTAAAGGAATAAATCATCAATAAATCATTGAAATCCATTTTCTGAGTTTTGTAAATCTATCAATGACTTGGACATACTGTGAAATCATAAATTTTCGTTGGGGTTTAATTTTCGTTGTTTTCGAGGTATAAAGAGACCCACGAATTCATGTCCACCACGAAATGTAAATTGTTACATACATAAGTCCTTCTTCATTTTTGATCCACGAAATCAAATCCCCACGAACCAAGAGATTTTCCTCAAACCACGAAAATTTGACCCCACGAAAATATGTGATTTTACAGTAAGTTTGGTGCTGTCACTGACATTTAATTTATTGCACATTAAATTTTGTGAAAACAGTTTTATGCTCAATGGACACTTTTACATAGACTTAGTGCGACATGTATGTATATATGTTTAGATGGATTTTTATATTTTTTATCAATATTTTGCAATAAATATTTTTAAAATCACATTTCACTCACATGGAAAACATTAAATTGCCACACAGGAAAATTCCGGAAATGAAAAGAAAATAATGTCGGAAATGAAAACAAAAAATGTCGATAATGAAATAAAAAATTGTCGGAAATGCAATGCATATTTCCGGAACTGAAATGCAGCGTATTGCTTGTGCGTGTAAGTGGGATAATTTCTCCTATGTGCAAAATGGAATTGACATAATTTGTATTGGGATCAGGGTAGTTTATATCCAGAGAGATGTAGAATGCTACATGCCTTGATTTACAGTGGAAATTTTGACAAAGTTATAATTTAGACTATATTTTTCCTCGAAATTCCACTAATCAAACATCATATTTACATGTATATATAGCAAATGCAAATGACATTGTAGCATTTTACTTACATTAATTATTATTATAATAAATAAATGTGCCTTTGTATGATTATTATAATTTTAAGATAAATAACTGTCATGATTTACTGTAAATGGTCAAAGATTTCACTTCAGAAATTTGATTTTCCTCACTTGTTTCTTCCACACTTGAGCAACAAACAGATTGTCATTTGTATCTGTACACAGTCCATGGGGTCTACTCAGTCCACAGTCTATGTAGCGGAGGAACTGTCCATCCTGGTCTATGATGTGGACACAGTTATTGTTATAATCAGCTGTAAGGATGTGACTCTGACTGTCTGTGGTGATTCCTTGTGGACTGAATGGTTGGTTCTTTGGAGCAGGTGCATGTCCAGTGTACCTGAATCTCAGTTTCCCGACCTGATTGACCACCACTACTGCTTTAGCTCTGTCATCAGACACACAGATATCCAGGTTCCTGTTCTCAGTAGTATATCTAATATAAAAAGAACTAGGTAAATAGAGTGGTTTGTCTTTATCATCAAACTGAATGGTTTGTTTTTCTGTGGAGCCAGAGCAACGGACAACTTTTGTTTGTTTCTTAACATCGCTGTCCATGATAACCAGGAGGTCACCAGAGGAGGTACTACAGACACCTTTAGGTCTCCAGTTCCATAGTCTGATCACCTCCTCTATCTTCTCATTCTTCACAATGTTCACAGTTCTATCATCATGATCAGTATAAACTAGATCTCCACTTTTCGTCACTGCTATGTTACATGGTATCTTCCCTGACTTGGTTGTGATTGACTTGAGTAGTGATCCCTGATTGATACTGTAGAGTTTCATGGTACTTTCATATCCACTTGTCCAGATTTCTTCATCATTCAGACAGGCCACATTGTAAAGGTTTCCATACCTAGTGTTTATGGTGGTGACAGTCTCTGGTTCATCAAGCAGCTGTTTGACTGGAGGAGAGGATCCAGCTTCTGGTGATTTCTGTGTTGTCTTCATGCTGTAGCCATGTTTATCTGAAGTTAAAGAACTTGGTGATAGGGCTCCAAACATTTTACTTAGTTCTTCTTGATGAATTTTTCGTGGAATGAATTTTGGTAAAGATGGTATAATTTTTTGTGGAAGATTTCTGTATGTGTGTACATTGGACGTGACACTCAATGGTTTTGACAAGTCATTTGTGTCTATTGCAGTTTCCATTGAATTGATTTCATCCTTGATGTCAGACAGTGTCTTGTTTATTTCATCCAGATGTTTCTCTAGAGTTTGTATCTGTGTGTTTTTCATCTCATCAACTTCAACTTTAAGTTTCTGGACAAGTTTGTCAATTTCTCTGTGCCAGTTCTCTCCATGTTTTGTTATGGCTGTTGAGAGATCTCCATGTTCCTTTTCTAACTGACTCATTCTGTTTTGTACATCAGAGGCAATGTCCTGGTAGGTGGGGTAAATTGTATCATTTAATTCATTTCTTTCTTTTGTAATCATATCTTTCTTCTCACCAACAACTTGCAAGATTTTAAATAATTCATGACCTAAATGATGTTTTGATGCAAGGCAGCAAAGACAGACAGGAACGTCACATTGTTTACAGTACATTTCACATTGTTCTTTTACATGAGATGTACATACAGGGTAGAGAGGAGTGGATTTTCTGGTCTGAATAGTGGCAACTTTGTGATTGATTGACTGATCAGATATCACGTGTTTTCCTACACAAATTGTACACAGGTTGACAAGACATGTATCACAGTGCATCTGTACCACAGCGGTCTCACAAAGGTCACATCGCATCACATCCTGGGCACTGGTACGGGGATCCATCATTAGGTTTTGTGACTAAACATAAAAAAAATTTAATTAAGAATAAGTTGCTTTACATTTGAGAGCAACGGGCATATTTTCGGACTCTTAAAACTACATTTTGCCTAAGACCATTAGGCAGATATATTCATGTACGTAACGTAAACAAGTCCTTATATTAATTATACAAGGTTCATTGTGGGAAGGAAAATTTGTTTACATAGTTAAAGCCTGCAGTACTGAATTTTTAGTGACTTTCAGAATTGTTTTCAAATAAACAGAAATACTTAAAAGTTTTTTACCTAACTTCAGTAATGGCGACTGTCCTTGATTAATCTCCAAGTACACTCTCTACATACTCGGATCACGTGACACGCCTGTGTTATCTACCTGTCAGGTGTTTATACTTCCTGGTTAGAGGGAGATTTAAATATGTCAAATAACTGCTCTTCAAAATGCATTATTTATTTTATATAGTTCATGTGCTGTTCTTTAGCTCTATTGATCTACTTGACCAGAATGACTTATGTGACAGTATTTCATATTGGTGACTGTTGTCCATCTGTTTGTGTGTAAACAAGTAAACAATTCCTACAGTTTTGGCGTGATTTCAATTATGCACATATAATCTTGAACAAAGGTACACTAGTAGACTAAGATACATAATTCTATTGATTAGTATTTAATTTTGCCTAAGTTGCCAAAGTTTTTGAAAATGGAAATTTGTGTGAAACGCTATTCTTCCTACAGTTTTATCCATTTCAATATAACTTGGCACACATGTAGAATACACTGAAAAAGAACTTTTTATGTTTTCTTACTGTGATGAAAGGTGTTGCTAGGGTTCTTGAAAATTGAAATTTCTAAATAAAGTTCTTGCAAAAGTTTATCCCCTGTACAGTGTTAGCCTGATGGCAATAAAGAGCAAGAGCCACTTTGGGCCTTGATAATTTGGTCCTGAGAATTTCTGAAAAATCAAAACCGCTCAGTTTAGGTTGCAAATGCAGTATTTATCACTTGGAGTGTTGGTGACCACGTATCTAATTATCGTGATGTAATTTCCCGTCTAGTCAATGCATTATGACGTCATAAATTGCATCATTTTCCTCTTATCCTGTAAATTCCTTTGAAAATGACCTAAAGTTGATTCAGAAGCATTTTTTCAATATTTCATATAGAGCACAACATCTGATCCAAAATATGCAAATACATAATGACAGACCTGTTTCTGAAGATCAAAAACATGATTTGTTTTTTGGATCTGGGCTGTGCTTATATTTTAATTCTTTGCTGACTGTTGTCAAATACGTATTTTTTCTGCAAATTTCAAGAACATTGCAATTTCTCAAACCTGTTTTCCAATATCTGGATTCTCAAAACAAATTTTTTTTATAGAATGAAAGCACAAAGTGTCTACTTTATTTTGATATATGAAATGGGAAAGAGGGTGAAAGCTAATTAATTGATATAAGTACCGGGCCATTTCATGCATAAGATGGCTCTTGCTTTTTTCTCACCAAAAAAGAAAAAAGAAAAGAAAAAACCATGCAAGGACTATTATTTTATAGCTATTTATAAATAATTGTTGTTGCCCAGTTTCAAGTTAAGTGTATCCTTTCTACTCCTTTGTCTTAAATACAAAACAGTAGAGCCAAATTTTTATCATAGACTTCTGATTTCATTTTATTTAAAAGCACTAGAAAATTCTTTTGTGTATATTACAATGTACTTGTTTATTTGAAATATGTGTAAAAGAGCATTAATTTCTGCATGAAATTTTTATAAGATTAACAAAATCAGTGATAGAGGTCTCAGACAAGTCACAACACCAGATTCTGGACACTGGTACATGTTATTAGGGTCCATGTATGTGCAAATCAGAATTTTAAATTAATTGCATACAGCTGTGTAAAGAAAAAAACAATGTGTGTGACACTGTTGAAAACTTGACGTAAGCAATCTTTTTCTGTTTTTGCAATACTAGATGTTATAGTAATAAATTGTATTTTTATTACAGGTGAGAGAGATGGCAGCCATAACATTGAGTGGTTTAGTACATTGTGGATTTCTAGACATGGACAAAGATATGCTGGTAATTTCTGAACTTCTACATATTAGTCAAAATTTGTATTTTTTCTTGTTATTTTATACCTCAGAATTTCAAACTTGAAGTTTGTAGTCAATAATTAAAAACTTAGGACCCATGTTGCAGCAGGCGGTGTCCAGTGAAAGATCTCTGGCTGCTCAATGGCCCTGAGTGTCCAGTATATGAGTGTAGGTATAAATTTGCAGCCATGAATCGACGATTGTTGGCATCTCAATCTCAAGAGGACAACATATCTGTGGAGAGGGCAAACAAACATCCTTTTTAAGATTGCCATATAATGCCATTATGATATATTTTCACTTGAAAATCTTTAAAGTGAAAAACAAGATGTGTTTGTGAAACACTGATGCCCCCATATGGCAACATAGCAAAGATTAAACTTTTCTTACATGCAAATTTAATTAACTGGTACCAAAAGTAGAGTATTTTCACTGGAAAACAATTGTGAAATTTGAAAGTAAGCCAATAATAAAAAGGTTTTTTTCAATAAGTATAAAAATCTCCAAGGTCAAAAGGTCAATGTAATTGGTATCAAATGAAAGGTCTTGCCACATAGAATACTTTTATAGAGCATGAAAGCCCTAGCCCTAAATGTTCAGAAGTTATGACCAAGGTTCAATTTTTTAAAAAAGTAGGTTAAACTCCAAGGTCAAGGTCAAAGGGTCAAAGTTCTTGTTATGAAATCAAAGGTCTTGTCACAAGAATTAAAAATGTATAGTATGAAAGCACTAGCCCTAACCCTTAAAAGTTATGGTCAAGATTTGCTTTTTTAAAGTAGGTCAATCTCAAAGGTCAAGGTCAAAGGGTCAAAGTTCTCGGTATTCAATGAAGGGTCTTCTCACAAGGATTTAATATATGAAGTATGAAAGCCCTATCCCTTACCGTTCAAAAGTTATGGCCTAGATTAAAGTTTTTTCACAAGTACAGAAATCTACAAGGTCAAATTAAAAGTTTAAAATTTTCATGTAAAAGTGGGTCAAACTCCAAGGTCCAAAGGTCCAATTTGGTGGTACCCAAACAAAGGGCTTGTCACAAGGAATACACATGTGAAATATGAAAGACATAGCTCCAATAAATCAAAAGTTATTGGCAAGGTTAAAGTTTTTGCAGACAAACAGAGAGACAGACAGTTGGACACGGCAAAAACAATATACCTCCGAAACTTCGTTTACGGGGGCTTAAAAAAAATGTAAAGCTTGAAGTATATGTACTTAGTGTATTAAATTTTATATTACTTTTAAACAGGAACACTTTGAAGTCCTTAGTAAGAACAAGGTGAAGAAGCGTAAGTTAGGGGACTCGATGCCTCTGGAGGCCCTAATAAAGCGTCACGCTGGTGTCCTGGGTCTCGGTGCTCTAATGGAAGCCTATCCTTACAATGTACCCGAGTTCATGCCACAAATCCTAATGGACCTCAGTAACCATGTCAATGACCCTCAACCAATTCAGGTCAGTAGATTCTTACACTCATGCAGGGTTCTCCATGAGCTGTTTTACTGTGTTGCTCCCGACACAGTAAAATTTTCTCCGAGACAGTAACGATTCAAATTTCATTCATGCGACACAGTCAAAATTTTGCCGACACAGTAAAAGTTGTGATAATTAGAAAATCTATACAAACAAATTCTCTCTTACTGAAACTTTAATCAAACAATTCTACCGTCTTTCAATTCAAAAAGTTATAATACTTAATTACTAGGGCTTCACCTTGAGTAATCAATCAATTATCTCCTAGATCCTCGCCGGACTTGACGCATGACGGAACAAAGACAAAAAATTGGTAGTTGCAATAAAATACATTGTATTACTTATGAAAAACATCGTACCAAAGTCATTTAGTTTAAGTATTTAAATTGCCAAAAATTTTGAAATTTCAGCATGTTCAAGGAACTCTCTTACATATTTTACTGTTCTGAAGTTTCTTTTTTTGAAATGCGGTAACTCGGTCAAGAAACCTGATAAATAAACACGGCAAATCTACCTTCAAAAATGTTAAGCAGTTCGACTATTGGTCAGAATTTCTTCTGCTTTTCAGAATGTTTTTTCCCTTTTATCAGTATGTACGACCATACCATTTGTGTAACGAATTAGCGATTTTTAAATAAGTGTGTGCTTGTAATCTTTTGTAATTATAATGAATTACGATTTAGTTGCGAATTTGTTCGTGAAAATACCGCGAAATATTTGTGCTTCGCGTAAACTCTGCAACACAGTAAAATCTCAAATGATGGAGAACCCTGCTCATGTCAATCAATACAAGTTAAAACTCATACTCAACCAATCCTGTCGAAAAATTTAAACTTAAACTCAGCCAATTTAGGTCAGAAGAACACTATATTTGTTACCTGTTGTCAAGTGTATTGCTACAGCTGAGGGTAACATCAGGGATGTTATCGCAAATCTCGCTTCAAAGTATACACTGCAGCCGAAATAGCGTTGTGTTGAGTGATGACACTGGATTTGATGATTGAACAATTTGAATCACGGGTTTTAATCTATAAAACAAGCGTTTTAAAAGGTTTATTAGGACCGCCCACTCTTGTGCTGTATCCTTTGCCTATATAAGTTAAAAAGCGTCCAACGGCCCAAACTAATGGTGACTTTCTGAACAAAAAAACCAAAACAAAACGAAGTGTAAAATGACTTTTTAGCATGTGATATATATCTTTCGCAGACGGAACATGTATATAGTTTGATGACACACATTATATTCATTTTATTCTACATGAAATTCTGCGGATTTTCTATTCACGGCATTTTCCATTTTTTGGTGTTGCAAATTGAAAACTTATTGAAAAAATTAAAATTGCGTAAAGCATGTCCAGCTATTATTCAAAAGTTTACTATTTTGTCAAAAATTCCATGTCTCAAATGTATGTGTGCTACTGCATACCTATTTTGACAGTCGTCATGGCAATATTAAAACATGAGATCAGAAAAAAAATTGAAATCCTTGTGCAGTGCACTTTTTACTGTAATGGCGAATATTATTCATATGTTCACTGTAAAATAATTAATATTGCTTACTAGTATATTTACCAAATCTAAGTACGTTTAATTCTATTGATGTACTGGAGAAAAAATGAAATTGCAAAAATATGCACCAGGTGACATGTATCATTTTAAGTCAACTTCTGTCAGCCCTGGAACAGATTTTTTTTGAAGATCATTATACAGGTTACACACACTCACAATAATTTAATAAGGTGTAGCATAAGTTCACTCAATACAGCGCTCAGTAAGTAGGGCCTATAAAAAAGTACCAATTAGATTCCTTGTTGGATTTTGCTATTGTATTTCAGTCTTATTCATGAGTGTGGTAACTCAACGCATCGGTATTTCGGTCCAAGTATATACTTTCTAGCAAGATTTTTGATTGATTGATTGATTGTATACTGTTTAACGTCCCTTTTCAGAATATTTCACTGATATGGAGACCTCACCATTGCCGGTGAAGGGCTGCAAATTTAGGCCTATGCTCAGCACTTACGGCCTTTGAGCAGGGAGGGATCTTTATCCTGCCACACCTGCTGTCACGGGGCCTCGGTTTATACGGTCTCATCCGAAGGACCGCCCCATTTAGTCGCCTTTTACGACAAGGGGTACTGAGGACCTATTCTAACCCGGATCCCCATGGGAGCAAGATTTGTGTAAAATCTGATTGGTTTAGATACATTTTATCACAAAATTTATCACACATTTTATCGCAAGATTTGTGATAAAATGTATCTAAACCAATCAGATTTTAGTGTTTAAGTATTATTTAGAGAACGAGACGGTTTCCGTATCGTAGATACAAATTTGGGGGTGGAGATGAATGTGGAGCACGAGTCTCCACCCCCAAATTTGTATCTTCGATACAGAACTGTCGAGTTCTCTAAATGATTTGTGACACGATCAATCAAAAATAGCTCCGCCCACTTTATAACTTTGCAGCATCCAAAACTTCCACCAGAGTTCTGTAGATGAGGCCTTGACAGGGAGTATGCATCCGCAGTATATATATTTCCACGGAAAACGTAAAATTCGGTCAGATTAGTTTTGACAATTTAACGGGGTAGACGTAATCGAGTGATAATCAGTCTCGATGGATAATGTGGAGGATTTAACCGTCATTGTTAGTGATTGTTGTGATCTATTTTAGATGGAGATTAATCATAAAATTTTTCAGGGGTCTTAAAATGCGGTTGAACTAGATTTACAAAAACAGGATTTGCAGAAAAAATCTTTGATGGACTTTGATGTCACAGGTTTTTATTTTCTAATTAAATCGCGACATTTAAAACGAAGTGAAAAAGACGTGTGGCTGTCGTCAGCGAGAAGGATTTTTAAAAATAAAAACGTGGAAAAATGACTTGAATGATTTTGCTTGAGGAGAGTGGATGTTTTCCCTTATTGCGAATTTTTTGTTTTGTTTTCTAAAGATCGAAATTATGTGTAGAGGATGTTTTCTGTTTTTGTGAATTTTCCTTTTAGTTTGGATCGAAATTACGTGTAGATTCTGTGTGGAATAATTTTTTTTAACAAATGATTGAGAAAGTTTGACATTTTATATTCTCAGAAAAATATACCACCTATTTCTCCCAATTTTATAATAGGAAAACTTCAGTATTTACTATTTGTACGTGCTGCTAAATTGAATCAGATTTATTTTTAGATCGTGCTGTATTTTAGATACAGAATAGTTGGCTAATACAAGGCAGTATACAGTGTTAATACAGAACGGAAAGTAGCTCCGCCCACTGTAGTCCCGTTCTGTATTGCTAATACAGAACAGTAAACTTCAAAGAAAAACACTGCTATCGTGTCACAACATACATAAAAGTACAAAAATGATAAACTCTGTTGGTTTTATTTTTTTGTCGATGACTGTAAAGAAAACTCTATCAAACTTCCGTAGAACACACCACGACAATTGGCATGATCACAAACAAATGTTTACAGACGATCAACTGAAATATATTAACTGATATTCTAGTGTCCCCTACTTACTACGCTTGACGACGGATAGGTTTCTAGAAATATTACAAAACAAGGTGTAAGGACCGAACTAGGAACAGCTGATGGTAGAGCAGACCAGAGTTACCCCCTCCACTAACAGGGCCACAAGTCCATCTCATCTCAAAGATTTTGTTAGACATAATCAGTGTTTTTATTATTCCTCCTCCTATAAAGTTTGAACATTTCAGTCATTTTTAGGTTTTTTTTCATACAATGTATTTATTAATGCGTATCATGAATACATTGATTCAGAAGAGTATATTTATTTGCATTTTGTCAACTGAAGGTAATGAAGTCTACATATTAAGTCTGACCAGGTTTTATGGACTAAGCGGCCCAAGTTGGTTATTATACTGAAAAGTAGTTCATATTGTAAAACATGTGCCTAGGCCCCAGTTGGTTATACGAAAAAGTAACTTTATGCAAGTCTTAGTTGGTTAAAGGGAAATAACCTAGATATCTGTTTTGGAGATTGCTAACAGAGAAATTTTAATCTGTGTTTTTATTACCTCAAAATATCCTTGCATAAATGAAGGCAGTTTTTGATTGATTGATTGATTGATTGATACTATCTGAGGCACTTGAGATGTGTAGGTACAGTGACATGTATTTATTTTCAGAAAAAGTTTGTGTTTTAAAACTAAACCTTCCCAAAAAATATTTTATATGGACAGTTAAGGATGCAGTGCCAAAGTCATTAGTCATTTGATGAAAGGCATCACATAAAATCTATCGGAGAAAAATGCTCTTCAAGTAAACATATGAATTTCAGTAGACTTCAATTTGTAAATTCTAGTACAAGTACAGCCCTAGGGTTTTTCGTACTTGGGGGTAAATATAAATTTAGGTTTGCATATTATTACACTTAATTGTTCAGCATCCATGTAATTACATTTCAATGTATTAGCATGTACATTTACAGAGATTTTTAATTATCAGATAAACATGAATGTACATGTATTGAGACCATATGTCAATTGAGAAACACAATGTTATGATTAAAGGTAAAGAGATGGACTGAAATATGCCAAATATATAAATTTCATGTACCTGTATGAAAAGTTTTTAAAATTTCACATTTCATGAACCTGTATTGAAGAGAACAGTGTTATCATAATCCATGGGTTTTGATTTAAATGATTCCCAATGTGATACAATTAGTTTACAATTATGTCATTAACAAATTATTTTACCATTATGATGAGAATCCTTGTCATGTTTTCATTTGCAAAAAAATGGATTTAAATAAAAATTATGCTTTCATGAAAATTGTTCTTGTAACTGCATAAACAATGCAATTCGATAGTATCAATCATATTTTGAAATATCCTTACCAATATCTTCATCATATACATGACTGTATAATGTAAAATTTAAAATATGAAAGAATGGAACAGATATATAGAATGTATGCAGAATATACATACACATGTACATGCATGAATCTTAATACCATTGTGATATGAACACATTTATTTTCCATGGGCTGATAATTATTCAAAAACATTTTGTGGAATAACTTCACATGTACACAGCAATTCATATGAAGCATCATGAAACATCTTTGGAGATCATAAATTAAATCAATATGAACTGCATTTTTTGCAACCTAGTTGCCACCTAGAAAATCTTAAATTAAGCCTTTATTGTGGGTGTCACGATTTCTTTTGAAGACAAATGAATTTTAAACATTAATTATTTTGTGGGATGTTTGATAGAACACTTGAGTCTCTCTCTCTCTCTCTCTCTCTCTCTCTCTCTCTCTCTCTCTCTCTCTCTCTCTCTCTCATCGAGAGAATTTAGTACAAAGAATATGGTCCAAAGAAGTGCATATCTACAATTGTTGGAACTTTTCAGATAATAAGAAATGTATTTATGAAACTTATTAATTCAAGCGACAGCAAGGTTTCAGTCGTTCAAAAAACATGTCTTTCACACGATTCTATTCTCGAGTAACAAGTTTTGATGAGTTTTGCGGCATACCGCTCAAGAAAGTATGTGGCATTTAAAAGGAAATCAGGAAAAAACGACGCATAAAAATATCAAAGAGGGTTTTCTTTAGTGAACACAATGAAGTCTCATTATTTCTAGCCAGAACTGGTGATAAGACGCTGTGAGGGGGCATGTGAACATGGAGGAACTCTCCAGGGCAGAAGGGATGCAAAACGCGGTGTCAAGTTGCAGAAAGACTTCATGTTTCCCAAAGTGTAATTTAAGCCATTTATGGAACCGATATTTACAGACAGGAAATTGTCAAAGAAGGCCAAAATCGGAAATCGTAATGTTTTATAGTAATATAATGATTACAGATTTCAATTAATTTATATGAGGGTGGTCGAAGACGTTCTTGGACTATGACGTTTTTACCAAAATGAATGTTTCAAGATATACCTACCAGAATATTAGTTAAATTAGTTATAAATATCTAAGTCAGAATAGTTTGGTTTTTGTTGTTTGAACTAAATATTTTTGTTAAAATCTCGGTCATTAAGGGTCGGCGAGAGTGTGAGGGTAAAAAAGGCTATAAACTTTGAAAAAAAAAATTCTGATCAAAATAATTATTTTCTTTATAAAAGGAGTCGATTAAAGCTTAATAAAAAGAAAACACCACAAGAAGTTTATTTCAAAAAGAAACAGCGACGTTGGCCATCCGAACGGAACAGAGTCCAGTCATACAATTATGGATTATTATGGTTGAAACGATGTCTTACACAAACTATTTCTTCAACATTAGGATAATGTTAGACTGGACAGGGCAGCTTGCATATACAAAGTATTTACACCTGTAATGTTCATAGAATAGTGTGTATTGTTTTTTGATTTTTCATTTATTTACTAGATCATGGTATTATGAAGATATTAGTATACACGTTTGTCAATGCGGAGTTTATTTAAAAAATTAAGCATTTGTGCACGAACGCTTTGGACGCTTTGGACAATCCTTGTATATTTGATTTTCTTCACTTGTCTGTCTAACAACTGAGCAACAAACAGATTGTCATTTGAATCTGTACACAGTCCATAGGATTTACTGAGTTCACAGTCTACATAACGAAGGAACCGTCCATCCTGGTCTATGATTTGGACACAATCATTGTAAAAATCAACTATAAGGATGTGAATCTGACTGACTGTGGTGATTTCTCGTGGATGAAAGGATATAGGTGGGTTGTGTCGTGGACAGAATGGTTTGTTCTTTGGATCAGGAATATGTCCAGTGTACCTGAATCTCAGTTTCCCGGCCAGACTGACCACCACAACTGCTCTATTGTCAGTCACACATATATCCATGTTCTTGTTCTCAGTAATGGATCTGCCACGTTTACCAGAAGAATAGAGTGGTTTACTTTGATCATCAAACTGTATGCTCTGTTTCTCTGTGGAGTCAGAGTAACAGACAACTTTTGTTTGTTTGTAATCATCGCTGTCCATGATAACCAGGAGGTCACCAGAGGAAGTACTACAAACACGACGAGGTCTCCAGTTCTGTAGTCTCATCACCTCTTCTATCTTCTCATTTCTCACAATGTTTACAGTTCTATCATCAAAATCAGTATAAACAAGATCTCCACTTTTTGTCACTGCTATGTCCTCTGGTGTGTTCCCTGACTTGGTTATGATTGACTTGAGTGGTGATCTCTGATTGATGCTGAAGAGTTTTATGGTGCTTTCATCTCCGCTTTTCCAGATTTCTTCATCACTCAGACAGGCCACATTGTAAAGGTACCCACTTTTAAGATCGTTATTCCGAGTGCCAATGTTGTTGATAATCTGTGGTGAACATCAAACACTCTTTTTACCTGAGGAGAGGGTCCAGCAGAAATAATGGCAGCTCAAAGGGTAAGTCCCTAATTCTACGAGGGGCATTTCAAAAGTCCTGAGAACTGTTTAATAAAAAATTAACCGTTTTACGGAAATTATTGAGTTTGGTATCATTGGAAAGAGCAGAAAAATGCACACATATTGTGACGTCACTTTATAATTTTTATGACGTAATAACTCCGATAATGACGTCAAACTTCCGCTGACTTACAATACTGACCATAAAAATGACGTAACAAAAGACACAATTTCATCAATGTAAAATTCTAAAAACAACTTTTGCTCATTACTCGGGTGCAAGCTATCGGACGTAAATGACAGTTGGTAGAATCTTTACATAGACTACATTCTATCATATGGTGGTCCATTATAGAGATCTTCTTGTTCTGAAATGGTTTAAGCGATTGTCAAACATCGCAAGTTTTTATCGAATCTTGCTCAAAATATTGCGTAAAACAGACCCAACTGTGAGAATAAGGCAAAGTTGACAATCAAAGAAAAATAGACGATCGTGTTACTTTATTTCATGGCATCAATTCGTCAGGTGTTTTAACCATATGCATATTTGTGGGATCGATGAAGGCTCAAGAGAAGTTAAGTTTAGTGTGCCCCATATTTTCTTGTAAAATCCAAAATGGCGCGGGCGCAGTTGTAACCCCACCGTACCTCCACATATTCGCAAAAATTAATTCAGGGAAATTAAATAAGATTCGACATGTCTGTGTAACTTACAAACCTTTTTTGGAGTCAAAAGTCAAAAGCAGTACTGAGTTTTGGGGGCGCCGAAGTTGAATTAATGAGAAAAAATACGTACAGAAACAAGTCAGGGGCAGACTTTTGTACATTTTATTTGTAAACAGTAAGAGTACTGTCACTCAAAATATATTTGTTGAAAATTGCATTAATATACTTTAGTTTTATACAGAAAATGTTTTATTTCATTCAATGGAGAAATATATAAAAGACCGAAAATCCAGTCGTATCATGTAACTTAAAATCTTGGATGAATGTCGATGATAGCATAACCGGACATAAACCGCGCTAGTAAACGAACAAAACGAGGAAATATAGTATTGTTGATAAACAGTACCATAGTCCTACTCAACTTCTTTGCAAATGAAAATTTTCTTTAAAATATATTTTCAAATAAGCCTTTGGGAGCACTTTTAAAATTGTGCCATGTGGATAAAATCGCGAGTTTTCAGTATGCTAAACATTCTATATTCTGACGTCATTTTCGGAGATATTACGTCATAAAAATTATAAAGTGACGTCATAATATTTGTATATTTTTCTGCTCTTTCCAATGATACCAAACTCAATAATTTCCGAGAAACGGTTAATTTTTTATTAAACAGTTCTCAGGACTTTTGAAATGCCCCTCGTATTAAGATTGGACTTATAAACGTTTAAAAAGGTGCAATCATTTTTCTTTATTTTAACTTGCACAAAGGTTGTTAGAAGTCTTTGTAGATGTTAGGGTATTTGAATTTTTCACAGATGAGGAGAACCACAAAGAGACGTTTTCCTCGTCAGAGAAGATGGAGGTGGAAAATGATAAAGATGAGGAGAGGTAGACAATTATAAAGCTGTGTTAAACAGGTGAGGAAAACAACCATAAGGCTGTGTACAATAGGGGAGGAAGACAACAATAAGATTGTGTAAAACAGGTGAGGAAGACAACCATAAGGCTGTGTAAAACACGTGAGGAAGACAACCATAAGGCTGTGTAAAACACGTGAGGAAGTCAAAAATAAGGCTGTGGAAGACAACAATGAGGCTGTATACTGTAAAACATGTGAAGAAGTTAACAAGAAGGCTGTATAAAACAGGTGAGGAAAACAACCTTACGACTGTGCAAAACAAGCAAGGAAAACAACCCTAAGACTGTGTAAAACAAGCAAGGAAAACAACCATAAGACTGTTTAAAACAGGTGAGGAAGACAACCATAAGGCTGTGTAAAACAGGTGAGGAAGACAACAATAAGGCTGTGTAAAATAGGTGAGGAAGACAACCATAAGGCTGTGTAAAACAGGTGAGGGGGCTTACACCTCTCTGCATATCAATGTAAATAAGAAATTGAGATAGTGGTCCCATATATAAAACATTAAACAAAACAAAAAAAATTATGCTGTGTGACCTTAAACATCGTTTATGTTACAGTGCTGAAGTCGATAATTGATGGTCTAGGTAGAATGTTTACTTCAACTACACCAGATCTTTTCCTTTTTCTTCCAGTTGTAAGTATTATTGTGAGGATTGCAGAAAATGCAAGTCTAATTTCTTGAAAAATTTGTAATTTTTTTCAAAACTTGATATGATTCTACCTGTACATGTATTTAACTAGAGAGATGAAAAATATACAGAAAGAAATTTTAGGTTTAAACTTCAAAATGACTTTTCGATATTGAGATTCATTTGACTTTCTCCTCATATTTGCACGTTAGTGAGTGAGATTAAGGATTAGGAACTGAAGACGGACTGTTCTATGGCCCTGGCCTGCTTCTCTCTGGCTCTGATACAGGAGACCAATGTCACAGTGTGTCTGGATACTATTAGAGATGTGAGTACAACTTATCACACAGAACTGAAGACTGGCTGTTCTATGGCTCTGCCTGTTTCTCTCAGGCTATGATTCATGGGAACAATGTCACTGTCAGTCTAGAAACCATCAGAGAGGTGAGCCCAACAGACAGTCTTGAAGGAGATATAAATCTGAAATTGAATTAAAATTTCATACCCAGTTCGAATTGATATGACCTAAATGGTAGGAACTTCACAGTTTCAAAAAATGTAGAATCAATATTTTAAGTTCCTGTCACAAAGTAATTAAGCTCTCGCTATGGTATGAAGACATATTGCAGCAGAATTTTATAAAGTGGATAGGATCTTAAGGTCACATTGATTGGAATGAAGGAAAATTTATTCCTAATCATTTCCTTGATTCCTATAGGTGATTGGGCTGACGACATGGCATTCCCGTGTCGCTATCCTTGGTTACAGCCAGGTCATATTGTTCTGTAACCTCTTTACCATGATCCAGACAAAGTACAAAGAGGAAATTCAGAACTTTATACTCCATCTCATCTTTGATGACCAAGTAGAAGTAGGTATATACAAAAAACAAAGCCATTGGGAGGGGGTGTCAGGACTTTAAACTGCAAATCATTTGAAATGTTTAAATGTTTCCTATGCAATACGTTTTTCTAATCAACAAAGAGATTCACTTTATCCATAAAATGGCCCTGCCCATATAATAGGGATGGCAGTTTGTAATCGGTTAATCGGTTGGAACGATGCTAATCGGTTAGAAAATCCGTAATCGGAAAAAATATAATATATGTAAATTTGAGCTCAATTTCCTTAAAACCCCTTCTGTTTTATTATTTTTTTAGAAAGGAAAGCGTTGCATATAATTAAGAATATTTGGAGTAATATTTGCCGTTACCCAGATAGTGCTGTGGTTTTTTAATGATATTAAAAACATCACCATTAAGTACTTTGATTATAGTATAGTGTCTATATTTTGCCGTTATCTATTAAATTATATTATTATGAAAAACGCTGTCGTGAAAATTCGAGAAATTGCAGTAAAAACAGTAAAATAGGTGTTGCGCAATGGCAATATGTAATAAAGATCCTGTGAAAGTTTCATTAAATTTCACTCAGTGGTATAAGAGGAGTTGCGGATAAGAGATGGATACCCCAAAGCGTAACAGACAGACGGACGGTGTCGCATAATATTTGGTCCGCCTCGTTTAAAGGTCCGGCCGGACCAAATACGATAACATATTAGGTCCGCCTGACTCTATAAGAAAAGGTCCGCCCTCGGCCTATTATACAAATCGTATGCCTGTGTTCATTCGATAATAATTGAAAAACTACTGTTTTAAAATTAATTGAGGATATAAAGTCGTATTAATAGCTAGTGTTTCCTCCAAGAGAATGTAGTAAACTATAAGTAAGAAATTAATATAATATAAATAATTATATTTATCAAAGAAATGTATAGATTTATTGATCGAGTTTCCTGTCGGGAAGATGGGACATGCTTATTTTGTCGTTTAAATACACTGGTATCAACATTATTATTTAAAAATAATATTAAGAATACAAAAGTACATACATTTACCTTCACCGCCTGTTTACTGAACAGATGAATGTTCGTAAGTCCAACACAATTCATTTAATTACACTCTCTTTCCAATAAGTACACGATAAACGTCCGACTTCCACTCGAAAAAAATAAAATCACATCATTCAAAATATATTTCTTTATAGTATTAATAAAAAAATCTGTCATTTTTTACGTTTAATATTGTTGTCAATAAGTGGGGGGTCACTGTGACAGGGGCTTATGTCACGGTGTACTACCCTACACCCGTAAAATTGTAAAAACAACATGCCTGCGGATTGGGCAGTTAGGGGTTAGTCTATATTATTGTCTCGTTTGAGAAAACCTAAAGTACCAAATCCCCTGTGTTTTTATAAGTTAACACTCTTTCTTACCTATTCAAAGGCTAATAATTATATCTACTAGATCTCTGCATTTCATTTCCTGAATTTTGCATTGCATTTTCCGATAATTTTTGTTATTATTTCGGAATCCGACATTTTTATTTTCATTTCCGACATTATATAATTTTTCTTCACATTTTTGGATTTTTTAAAAGATACCTTTATGTCACTTTGAGGTTAACATAAATAAGAAATATGGAAATAGATTAATTTTTAACAGGGCATTGTATATATATTATTTATGACGGAAGTATGGCTTTTTTCATTGCCGAAAAAATACTGACATGAATTTGATAAATGTCGGAGATGAAAACTTTTAAGATGTAAAAACTGTCGGAATTGAAAATTTTATTTAATTTTTTTATTTTTAAAATTCTGAAATAAATGCATTACTAAATATTATTTATACAAGGTTATGTGCTCTTGGTTTTAATAAAAACTAAAGTCGATAGATTGCTGGATTTATAAAATGCATTTATTATTCATATTTAATATACAAAAGTCATGTCGCTCATATAAGATCTCTGTACATGCATTAATTATTTATTTATACTTATGTCTCTCGGTTTCAATAAAAAATCCGAACATTTTAATGAATTGTTTTTTTTTTTTTTTAAAAGTGTGCTAGTAAAAAACAAAATTTCAAACTTTTAAAAAAATTTTTAAGTGCGATATTGTACATATATATCCCACATTTTTCACCCCAGAAAAAAGAGCTTGAGTTAAAAGACACCCCCAATTTCAGAAGCCTGGCATAATAGAATTTCCCGTTACCTTCTAACAAAAAACCCCGACTTGATTTTCCACCAGAGAAATACTGCTTCAGTACAGATTTTTTCTCCCTTTCCACTGCTTTACGAACTATAGGGAGAATTTTTTAACCAATACATATTAAAGAGAAACTTAAAAAGCATACAATTTTTTTTAATAAATTAAATAGAAATAGTCTTTTAATATCATGACGTATCAAAAACTTCGTGGTTAACGTTAGATTTTTCTATGACTGATTTCTTTTTATCATCGGCCACAGCAGTGGCCGATCTATTTGTGATTGTGTTAGAAAGCGCACAGGGGGAAATGAGATGTTCTTTTTTTTTGTTTTAGTTCAGTAAAATAATTTTTAAATGATAACGTGTAAAATCATGAGTAAAATAT